GAGATTGAGCTGTCCGTCTCGCTGAAATGAATCTGAGTTAACGTCTCTTCAGTCGAGACAGGACAGCCTGGGGGACAGACAGAAGAGCACTTCCTGTTCACCTGCAGCCTCTTCTCATTAACCCACACCTGCAAACGCTCTCAGACATCGGCTCTGTCTGGAAATCTTATGGCAAAATCATGACTGTGACATTGCATGTAGGGAGATAGGCAATACCAGAATGCTTTGCCATGAGCTCAGAGGACAATAATCCCTTTGAAATGCCAGGCAAGGAGAGAGAAGTGTGTTGACTGTATCATGTTGAAATAAAACACACCAGTTTTTCTGGTTTAGCTGTTTGACCAGCCCCTGGTGAAAAAGAAGGGGAAATTAACTATACTGAAAATAAAATAAAATAAAATAAAATAAAATAAAATATGAAATTGAAAATAGATGTTCTGAAGTTCTACTTAAGTTCAAATAGTTACATTTATATAAATTTAAACTGTAATACATTACATTAAATTGCAATTAAGTGTCTGAAAACATTATTCAGCGCACACTTAAGTGTCTGTATATGTGTATACAAATACCAATACAAATACAAATACATATATATATATATATACAGTGGGTACGGAAAGTATTCAGACCCCCTTAAATTTTTCACTCTTTGTTATATTGCAGCCATTTGCTAAAATCATTTAAGTTAATTTGAGCCTGATAAAACTGCTCATTTTAGAAAATATCAAACGGCACTTAGAGGCATTTGCATCTGAACTCTTCATATACATAAATAACCAACCCCCCCCAAAACAGAACAAACACTGTCTAGGATTTTTAAAAAATCGTCAATAAGATTAAAAATAAATAAATACATGAACCTAATATATGTGTGTTATATACAGTTATTCTTCCGAGTTCTTTTGTTGCTGACTTAGCAGCATGTTAACTTAGAAAAATGCTAATGCTAATCTCTCACATGATGAGCTGTATTTGTGTGGTGTGTGTGGCTGCTGCCTGTGTAGGGCGTTTCAAATCAGTCAAAAACAAGGCAGCTCAGATTTTTGGAATAGAACTACAATGAAGTCTGCAATCAACCAAAAAGCTACAAATTCAGGCATCCAAGGTCTTGTGTGTGCATATTTTGATCCTTTGCAGCCTAAAATATGGAAAAGTCATGATTGAACCACAGATGGAAACCCAGAGCATGACATCGGTATATGACATATGCATGTTTTGCAGTTCTGAGCGCATATGATCCGTCATCCAAACACTCGGTGGATATCTGTCTGTGTTTGGCCCGTTGTGGCCGCTCTGTAATCCCGCTCTATTAACACCTCTGACTCTCTTTGCTCTTAGCTGCTCTGCTCTCTCTCTTCTGTCTATTTGTCTAAGGGTCGGGGCGGAGTGGTGACGTAGCCGAGTCCAGCTCCACAGGGAGCGTATGTCTGACTGTTATGACTATCCCAAATAAGAGCACAGAACCCTAAAACCATGGCGAACGGGGCAGACAGGATGTGGCTTAGATGTGTTCCTTTATTTTTTCCACATTTTGTAGCAGATGTTTTATGAGCTTGAGGTTTCTGAGCTATAGGGATTGATTGTTTTTATTTTTATTTTGAGTAAAAAATGTAATGCCCTAAGACATAACATTACAGACGCGAGCAATACAATTGCCACATGACAGCCCTTAAAGGTGAAGTGTGTGGTTTCTGCACAGTTAGCAGCAACAAACAGAAATGCAAAAGTGTTTCCCAAACACTCCCCCTGCTTGTGATTGGCTGGACAAACAGATAGCCCCACCCCAAAGTCACGCCATTGGTTGTTGTCGTGTGAGTATTCTCAAACAAACAGAACAATGTTTTAAAACTGCCACACTATGTCACTATGTAAACAGTACATTTTTTTTGCCAACTTATAGTTGTCTGCATACTAAGCTGGGATTGGATAAAGTATTTTAAACATAAAAATGACGTTTAAAATTCACTTGAATATAAAAAGAAATAATGCAATTAAATAGAAAATCCTAAAATTAAGGCGACCCACTGTCATCCGCTTTCCGGCAGCTGCTAACAAGTATCATTTGTATAGATGGTTTGTCACAGATGGTCCAACAGATGTCTCTCTGGTCTTTAGCAAGTGTGTGTGTACGAGCAAGTACCCATAGATGTGCTCCTTGTCAATCGTTACGCTGTCAACCAGGGCCTTGAGTGTGCTCTTTATAAAACATAAAGCCAAAGTACTTGAGTGTGTAAATCAGGGCTGAAATCTGAGCGTTGTGTCAGGCAGACAGAACAGACAGAAAGAGAGAGAGAGAGAAGCTTTCTCTTGAGATCGGATTCTGATGAGCATCATTAGTGGCGAATCCAACCCAAAGCAGCAAGACAGCTAAAATGCCTTTTCTAGGGAATAAAACTAGGCATGTTGAAAGCAGAAATACGAATTTCTTGAGGGAAAAAAAAAGCCTCCTGAAAGCATGATGTGTAGCTGATGGCTTTGCACAGATTATTGCATGTTTCAGTGGCTATTTTTGTAATGCTAGTATACTGCATACTGCCAAGTAATTAAAAAAAAGTATGTGAACAAGTACACAGTATATGCTATAATGTATGTTTAATTCAGCGAGTGCTGTCCAGGTATTATCTTAAAATGTCTTTTCTAGGGAATAAAACTAGGCATGTTGAAAGCAGAAATATGAATTTCTTGAGGGGAAAAAAAAGCCTCCTGAAAGCATGATGTGTAGCTGATGGCTTTGCACAGATTATTGCATGTTTCAGTGGCTATTTTTGTAATGCTAGTATACTGCATACTGCCAAGTAATTAAAAAAAAGTATGTGAACAAGTACACAGTATATGCTATAATGTATGTTTAATTCAGCGAGTGCTGTCCAGTTATTATCTCAGAGGAATGTTATTTTTTTGTGTCCTTATCTTTTTGCAGGGTTATCAAAAAAGTGATGTTAAAAATCTTAAACATTTATATTACTTCCCAGTTCATTCATTGCAATAAAAATAAAAAGTCAAATCCATTGCACAGTGGGATACAATCGTACATGCTGCATTGATTTTTAGTCTTTTTTTGATTTTTTGACTTTTTCTGCATTGATTTTAGTCAAAATCTTAAGAATTTGTTTAATGCATTTAAAAATGGTGAAGTCTAGCAATACTGGACTTTTAATGCTGCACAGATTATTGCATGTTTCAGTGGCTATTTTTGTATTGCTAGTATACTGCATATTGCCAAGTAATTAAAAAAAAGTATGTGAACAAGTACGCAGTATATGCTATAATGTATGTTTAATTCAGCGAGTGCTGTCCAGGTATTATCTCAGAGGAATGTTATTTTTTTGTGTCCTTATCTTTTTGCAGGGTTATCAAAAAAGTGATGTTAAAAATCTTAAACATTTATATTACTTCCCAGTTCATTCATTGCAATAAAAATAAAAAGTCAAATCCATTGCACAGTGGGATACAATCGTACATGCTGCATTGATTTTTAGTCTTTTTTTGATTTTTTGACTTTTTCTGCATTGATTTTAGTCAAAATCTTAAGAATTTGTTTAATGCATTTAAAAATGGTGAAGTCTAGCAATACTGGACTTTTAATGCTTGCTGAAAGCATAAAAATGTTCCAAATGTTTCAGAAATAAATTCTTACGGGTGACCCTCCTCTCACTCAGGCCCAGTGAGTAGAATGTAATATACAGGACCTCAGTGGGCCCCCTCCATCACAGGGCCCAGGACAACGTTTCTGGTTGCCCCCTGTTCATATGTAATTCTAAATGAGTGTAATGGTATATATCAGTGGAGTCGAGTACAGCGAGAGAGAGGAGAAAAAGAGAGAGAGAGAGCGGCTCACGTCTGATCAGTCATGTGGGGGGAATCAGCATGTGCCCTAATGAGCTTACCGAAGCAACTTCAATATCCTCCGATGTCATGTTGAAATGAAAATTAATAGTTCAATATGGCTCCACGCAAATGCCACGCGTCTCCCATAACCCGTATCATGTGGCGTGACCAAATGAGTGTATTCTAATAGAGGTAGGCAGAGGAGAAAAGCTGATATCTTCAGTAATCAGGGTTTTGAAAATTACCATTAAATGAAATTCAGGGATGGATGGAAAAGAAAAGAAAAGAAAAGAAAAGAAAAGAAAAGGGGGAGATGAGACAAAAAAAGCCAGAGACATGGAATGAACATCTTTACCCCATAATGTGCTCATGTCTTTCCCACAGGCTATGAGCTAGTCACCGCAGGGTTGACTTACCCACACGCACCACTCAAATTGTCCCTTGAATCTTTGAAGTCCCTGTTCATCTTCAGAGTCTAAACTAAGGTTCTGTCTCAAATGGCGCACTTGACCCTTGCAGACCTCCTACGAGCCCACACTTTGGTGAAGTAATGTTGCTTGGACGCAATGTTCTTGGGTAATGAGTGTATTCTAATAGAGGTAGGCAGAGGAGAAAAGCTGATATCTTCAGTAATCAGGGTTTTGAAAATTACCATTAAATGAAATTCAGGGATGGATGGAAAAGAAAAGAAAAGAAAAGAAAAGGGGGAGATGAGACAAAAAAACCCAGAGACATGGAATGAACATCTTTACCCCATAATGTGCTCATGTCTTTCCAACAGGCTATGAGCTAGTCACCGCAGGGTTGACTTACCCACACGCACCACTCAAATTGTCCCTTGAATCTTTGAAGTCCCTGTTCATCTTCAGAGTCTAAACTAAGGTTCTGTCTCAAATGGCGCACTTGACCCTTGCAGACCTCCTACGAGCCCACACTTTGGTGAAGTAATGTTGCTTGGACGCAATGTTCTTGGGTCCTAGAGCACTTAGAAGTCAGCCAAACCAGCATGGACATACTTGAAAGACCACAAGACTGCATGCCCACTTCAAGTCAGCCATTTGGGATGGGGCCTAAATGGAGTTCTCTCAAATTCAAATTGAATTTCAAACTTCCAGATGAAGCTTATAAAAATCAACATTTAAAATGCACGCCATCTCATCTCCACGTACCTCCCATCCATAAGTGGTCTCTTTCACCATGACGCTCTGCAGTCCGTTGTATGGTCCGAAGCGTTCTGCCATGTGAATTTTGACTTTGGCCCAGATTCCTAGGCCAGCCCCTGGTACGGACGACTCGCGGAGCTCCAGGTCGGCAGGGATGGGAATATCGTCGGGAATGTAGACGGGCACCTCGTAGGGTGAGCCCTCTTTAGGAGTGAAGTCCTCATTGCAGAGCTGAGGGGACGTGGGCCCCACCGCAATGGGGGACATGACGCCATCTTCTGTCTCCTCTTCTGCGCTCTCGCCGGTCACGAGATTGGGCTCTGTGTCGTACATGCTGTCTACTGCCTCACTGTCATCTGAAAGACAATACAGAGATATTTGCAATATGTTAGCAGAATAAAGAGACACAATGTAAATGTTCTTCAGCTTCATTTCTCCACATATTTAATTGGCTGATTGTAAAAGGAGTTAAAATTTTAACTCTAAATGTCATTCCAAACCCATGTGATTTTCTTACTTCTGTTGAACACAAAAGCAGAACTTTTGAAGAATGTACATGCAGCTCTTTTCTGTGTAATGACAGTCCATAGAGACCATGTTTTTAGGGCTAAAAAATGACCACAAATAACACCATAAACCTGAAAACCTTGCACTATATCTTTCATATCAAATCCACTGCCTCCGTTTTTGGAGCTTAATAGACACAACAACATAAATTGTTGGGAAAATGTGAAGATTTTTTTTGTGTTCCATAGGAAAAATAAAATGCAATGCAATGCAATGCAATACATTGTAAAATAAAATAAAATAAAATAAAATAAAATAAAATAAAATAAAATAAAATAAAATAAAATAAAATAAAATACGCTGTCAATGTTTTTATTGTTCATCAACTGGAAAAAAAAATCATTCTGAAAGTGATTTGTGTCATTACTGTAATAATTGTGGTGTGGACTTGGTAATTGTTAAAACATTATACGTCATAATTATCATCATGTGAAATGCCTTTAGTTTGTAAAAACTCCCTGTTCACAATGATAGGATATTCTGGTTGTTTGCCAGGGCGTTGATAAGTTGTTGTGAGTGTCTCGAGTCTAAAGAGTCAACCCCCCAGGTCTCTATGATGTTCTGGTCTCAAGATGGGTTGGCAAAAATCATAAGACAGATCACTTAGAAAACTAATAGCAGACCTTCTAAACAAATCATAGCTATCATTTGTATCCATAACACAAACGGAGTGGCATATTTATGTGCCAAAGTTTAATCCGTAGGGCTATGGATTGTTCAAATTACTAACCGTAAGTATGAGCAAAATAAGTATCATTCCATGTGGAGATTAAACCAGCAACCGTTCTGTCACAAGTCCAAGTTCTTAACCACTTTGACCAACAAGAGACCACTGACATCACCGAGCAATTGCAACAAGCATGAACGATTCAAACCAAACCATTCATTTTTCTATTGCTGGTTAATATGTATGGTGATACTCACTGATCTGTGAATAGGATTCTCTGCCTAAACCAGAGAACAGATGCTCATGAAGGATTCACGGTTAGTTAGATGTTTTGTAACTCAAACAGGCCGCTGCAGGGAAGATGCCATCTATTTCACAGTCACCGACCATTTCCTGTCTGATCATTTTACAAATAATGGCAGCAAACGACACTGTGGCCTGACACCACTGTCAGCCATCTATGCTTATTGTCACTCTTTGCTTGACAGCATAATTACGGTACTTATCATTCACGATTGCAAAAGGGACAACTCGGCTAAAAATAGGTTCTGTTTCTCTTCATTGGTTTTAAATGCATCACAAAGCACAAATGACGTACAAGCCCTTTGATATCATGCAACGACCATCAGAGCTGGAACTGTCAATCTTGGAGATCCAAACTGACCCATCTCCAAAACTCGACCTGACATATCTCACCTGAAACGATGTTCTTAAATTTCTTCGGCGGGCCACAAAATGCCCTTGAGCAGTCTCCATGACGACAACTCTGCAAGTACGCATGGATGGACTCACTGTAATTTGTAGCAGCACCGCTGCAGTTTGCTATCCAAACACAGGACCAGCAATCAGGGCTAACTAGGCTACAATTACACCAGGAGTGCTTCCAATCAACCAGACTCGGCCCCCCTGCCAGTGCTGCCAACAACACAAGTTTATGACTCCAAACTGCTTTCTCTCACATTCAAACACTGTTTACTTATAAGCAACAGCAAAGCCATGAATAAGTATAAATTGCAGTTACTGCTAAGTTGGCTTTAAGTCAAACGTCAGTGGTTTCACTAAAGATAGGGAGAAAGAACAGGAGAGAGTGAAATACCAGAAGAAAGGCTCTCCGTGAAAACCCTTGGAAAGTTTGATCTTTAACACAAATTTGATCAAATGCATTATTACTCCACACTCTGGAATATTTCATTCTGATTGGTCAATCACAGCATTCTGTGGTCAATTATTTTGTAAAATAATGCTAAACTGCATAACTGATCATTGTCCCAGGCAACCAGTTCTCTACAGCCACCCAAAAAATGAAGAATCTGTCATAATTTATCCATCCTCACGTCGCTCCAAACCCATACTTTCATTCATCTTCGAAAAACAAATGAAGATATTGTTAATGAAACTTGAGCGATTTCTTTAACTCCATTGAAAATGCATTCACCCAAATGGACACTTCTGCATGACAATATTCTACATCCCTAATCCTACCCAATGTCTAAACTTAACAACTACCTTACTGACTATTAATAAGCAGCAAATTAGGAGTTTATTGAGGCAAAAGTCATGGTAAATGGTTTATAAATAGCGAGATTTTTTTTTGTATATTTTGCTTTTGCAAAGGATGGGGACATTCTAGAAGTTTCTGTAGCATTCTGGAATATTGTAGTCCTTTCTGGAACGTTCCAGAGCATTGTGGGAGTAGTCATAAAAGACATAAATCATCCAATGCACACTTCTAAAGTTTTGGACGACTCACTTTTGGTAACTGTTCGTTTGAGCTTCCGCAAGAACCAATAAGATTTGTTATTTAAGTATGAATGAAAATCTTATGGGTTTGGAATGACATGACTTTTATGATTTTTTTATTGGTAATAACTAGTGATTTAAGTCCAAAGATGCGCTGGCTTCCGATGGTCACTTACAGTATGCAAAAGTTGGTTTGGGACTGGAGATGCAAATGTTTGTGACAAAACTTTGTTTTTTTTAAACCAACAATTCTGTGCAATCACAGTGTATCATAAAAAGCTCCACAGTAAAAAATGAAAAGCTTTTAAAACAGCTCCTGCGTCATCTCGCGATTTTGAGGGCAAAGAAATGTTTTACCAATTTCTTTAATGGTCAGACTTTCATTGGAGTCTCAAAGCAGCCAGGCAATTAATTCAAGAACATGTGGCCCAGTAGTAGCTTCCCCTTTTCACAGATCAGTTAAAGTTTTATAACCACTGCCTATCTGGTGCTGTTTGCAAGAATCAAAAGTGTTTTTAAACCATTAAAACTTTTTTCCCCTTCTCATTTTTGGCATATGACCCGAGTAAATTTTCAACAGCCATAGAAAGGGTAGGAAAATCTATTAAATACTCCAGTTAAAAAGCCTGTAGTGTATGAACAGATAGTTACCCTGAAAAAGTGAATTAAACGACATTTGATGAACAAAACATCAGAACCATCAGAATGAAAAGCGATTTTCATTTTTTTCAGAAGGTACAAACATAAATCTAAGTTATAAAGTGTTGCTTAGGACACCAAAGGAGAATTCTGAGGGGCATTTTCAGATCTGTAGATTGTTTGCTTTGTTCCGAAGCAGGGATTTAAATTGTTACCATTTTCTGCATTACACAATATTCCAGAATGTTACAGAAACTTCTGAAATGTTCACATCCTTGCTAAATCAAAATATCTTATTACAGAATTACAGAAGAACCATAAAATGTTTTAAATTGTTATAATACAGTAATAATATACTGTTGCATTCGTATATGCCTAAATTAAAAAAATGGAGAAAATGCATTAGAACAAATGCTTCAAATGAGCCAGGTGTGAAAACGTCCTTAATCTCTGATGGCTCCCCTGCAGACCACTCAATTTATGTAACCTCCAGGACACAGGACGTGCAAAAACAAAACAGTTTCTCAGGTTTACATGTCAGTCAGATGGTCTCTTCCCGCCTAAGTGAGCTGTCCGTGGTAAGAATTAGCTGCAATGTGAACCAGACTTCATGCCACTAGTCGAAAATCTAGCAGAAGTGTGGACAGAACAAAGAAGCTCTTTAAACTGAGGCTCTGACATGCTTTGGATAGGGCTCTCTGTTGGATACTGACACTCCCGGAAGTGAAGTGCCTTCTTCTGAATGTCTGTTTGCTCTGGCTCTCATACTGAACTGTTTATCCTGATTACATCAGGCCATCATCATTAATTCACACCTTGGGGGTCCTTCTCTCCTCTGAGCTGCGGCCACAATGAAATGCTTGTTCAGCTTTGTTATTCCACTGGAAACTACTGTGCAGCCGGCTCGTAGACATGAAGGCATCAGATTTATTTGATAAACTGTAAAAGCGTCACTTAAGCCTTTATTAGTGCAAGCAGATATAGTGGATGAGAGACACTGGCATGCTCTGTGCTCCTCTTCCTCAAGAGTGGAATATATATCTGTGCTATAGGCCAGCGGTCTCAGGATTTTGACCTACATACATTTTCATTGGCATTTCAACACATGAATCTGTGCATGAGTAGTATTTCATTATAACATCTTTTAACAATAAACTCCTTAATATGGCTTCAATCTTTAGCCCAGGTTGCAAACTCATTGACATTTACATTCACAGATCACCAGAGACCTAGTTAGTGGTGTTTGCTAAGGCAATGATCATTATTAATATTGTTTGTGCTTAAGGTCAGATATTTAAAGAAAAAAACAAAACAAAACTCAAGCTAAATATTTAGCTTTGGTGCGTGACTCATATCGCAGCATACAGACCTAGCAACTACGGATGCAAGATTCATTCAAATGAAACTATAATCGTGATATGGCTTAGTGCAATTATCAAATAGCAAAGGCTGTTATTCATTTAAAGAAATATATGCACTGCATGTTTCAGAGTGAAGCGCGACACTGTGTTCTTTTACTCAAAAGCAGCTCAAGATCATGTATTTTCAGTGTCTCAGAATGGCTTGATTTGCATTAAATTCTGCTTCGCACAAACTCATCTCTTCTGGTGACTTATATTTGGTAACACAATATGTGCCAACCATCTTCCCAAACTTGTCATGCAAAATGCTTTCAACTTGTTGTCAACAAAAGATGTTTTTAAGGGCTCCTTAAAAGCGCCTTAACACCTTAACAGCAATATA